TGAGAAACCTCCAAACAGCTTTCCATAGTGGTTGTACTAGTTTGCATTCCCACCAGCAGTGCAGGAGAGTTCCTTTTTCTCCACATCCTCGCCAACATTTGTTTTGCTAGTTGTTTTAAAATTGCCATTCTCACTGGCATGAGATGGTTTTAATTTGCATCTCCCTTACTACAAGTGATGTTGAACATTTTTTCATATGCATGTTGGCTATCTGCATTTCCTCTTAACTCTTCTGCCTATTTTTTTTGATGGGGTTGCTTATTTTTGTTGAGTTTCATCAGCTCTTTGTGGTCAATCCTTTATCATTAGTATTGTGTGAGAAAATTTTCTCCCAATCAGTGGGATGTTTGTTTTGTGTAATGTCTCTTTTGCTGTACAGAAACTCTTTAACTTGATGTAGTCCCAGCTGTTTATCATTTTGTCGCACACGAGGCCACACTAGAGGATTAGAACTGACAGATACACAAATGTCTAGTCTTAGAGTCAGACTCCTGGAATGACTATAGCTCTCACTGGAAATGATTTTTCATAATGAAGGACACAATGAACTTAAAAGGATGAAACTCCAGATTGTTTGGTTATTGCATCATGGAACCAAATAATTTAGGGCCCCACATTTTATATTAAAGGAACACAGTTCTCTCTCACATTAAAGAGGAAAAATGAGCTTTTCTGTTGTGTCACCATCACAAATCAATGTTTTGAAGATCCACAGAATCAATTCAGAGGTTTCTCAACTTTAGGTTTTGGATAAAACCTAAAGTCAGGGTTGGGATAAGGTTCTGTGAGGCTAGAATTCTGGAAGTTAGGAGAGTTCTTGGAGAAGGGATAATAAACACTGAATTCATCTGATTCTAATCTGCTCTTTTGGGAACAGAGGGTCAGTATTCTTCTGTCCACCCAGTGACCCACAGGGAAATCATGTAATTAGAGGTCACAGAAAAAGGAGGGAATGTGCCTAATGAGCACATACAGGGACTGTAAATATCTCCTCTGCTGCCCTTCTCATCTTGTTCTACCCGGGCTGCACAGGGCATGGTTGCTGATTTTGGAGTTCCTAGCCTGGCTGGCAGACCAATGGTTCCCTCCTTCCTGCTATCTCATCTGGGCTTCAGCCTCAGTCATCAACCATCCTGGGCAGAATCTGTATTTCTACTCAGAGGTCTTTCTTTCCAAAATCCAACCCAGGTAAGTCCAAATGCACTCTGCAAGGGAAGTTCAGAGGAGGAGAAAGATAAGAATACTCACCTAGGTCACCCGAGAGCTAATCCAGCTTTCGGACTCCAGAGATCACTGTGCTTGATGATTTTTTGACTAATTGATGCATTAGTTATGATGACCAAAATTGAAGTGAACATTGAACTCTGTAATGCAGAGGTCAGTGCTGACAATGAAATTGTTTAAATAGAAGTTGAATGAGAATAGGAAGTGGGGACTTAAATTTCTCTCAGTAAAAGCAGAACGTAAGTCCAAGGACATTTGCAAGCAATGTGAGTGTAGAAACAGCATATGGAGAGTGTTACAATGAAGTATAATCATTTTACATTTAATTTTCAGATAGTGCTTTCAGATCAGTTCCTCTATAGGTTACAGATACCAAGAGCAAGCAATGCCTGAAAATGTTATTTTGTGACATGGTAAATGAAACATTTGTATCCATGGTGTCCTCTCTGGATGTTCACATGGAAACATTATACATATTACGTGAAAGGCATTACATGAGTGAACTTCTTTCACAGTATTTTTATCGTGGTTTAATGTGTTTTGGGGTTTGTTAGCCATGTACTTTCTATATTGCAAATTGTCTGTAGGAGTACTTTGATTTTGTGTAGTAAAGTATTTCTATTGCTATGTTTAATTGCATTAATTTATGAAAAGAATAAGGGTTGGTTTTTATTTTCACCAACCCCTACTGTTTGGTTTTGTGTATACACATCTTTGGGAGGAACACGCATATGTTTATAAATTTTGTCAATAATTCATGTTACTGTGAATCACATAGTGAGTTCTGTCAGTAATTCATGCTGCCTATTCTCCTTTCATTTTTTTAATTGAAAGAATTGAGGTCTTACTTTAATATTTTTCCCATAAAAAGCCTTGCTGTACATAAAAGAATAACCTGAGGTTTCTGTTGCGTACTCCATGCTAATAAATCATTATACATATTTGGAACATGTTTTCACATCTCTGTTACTTCCTATTATTTCTTTTGGCTTTTTGGCCTTAGATTTGTTCCCAAAAGTTGCACCATGTTTCCTTATTTGAAAATCATTCTTCCTGTCATTGGACTAAATATTACCTTTATACTGTTAACGTACCTATATCCTGAAAGTTTATATAAGGGGAAATGATGCTTAGAGTTTCCTCTACACTTCTTTAAGGCCTTTCTGTTGCAAGCTTTTTATTTCCAATACTCTAGCAATTTATTTATTTACTAGATACCAATGTCAGTTTCATTAATTTATTACTATTTTATATACTTATATAAACTTATTTTTCAGAAATTCAATAATATTTTATATATAAAATGTTTTGAAACCACTGAACGTTACCCAATTGCATTCTTATGGTTACTATTCATTCTGAAAGCCCTCATTTCTTGCTAAAACTCTTCTTTCCATATTATGCATATATGTGTTTTCCCATACTTTTAATCAAATGCATGAGTAGAATCTTGAGCTTTTCATGCTTCAGGATGATCTTACACTCTTTCCAGGTTTCCCCTCTTCCCTTCTTACTAAGCACTGCTTTATGCACCATCCGAATTTATTGAGATCTAATTACTGATTCATTCAATAAAAAGCATTCAGCATGTTACATGACAGAAAATTCTAGAGGATCATATGTTTATTCTCTTATATCCAGTTTTTTGCTTTAAATTTATTAATCCACATTGATTGTGGTAAGTTCCTGCTATTGTATGTCTTATTTCAGAGAGTTTTCAATGTTTCATTCAATTTTGACTACAGTTGTTTGAAAACACTTTAATGGATTTGGTTTTACTGCATAATTTTTTACTTCATAAAATCTAGTTGTGTTAAATGATTGATCATATAAAGACAAATTTTTATGTAAATGCATTCATATCTAAGTGAAAACTGTGACGTCAATAAAACAGATGAAGAAGATTCTGTGAACATGCATTCTATTGTCTCAGTCAGGGACAATGAAATAAATGTGTGTGGTGTATAGAGCATGGTCTGAAGAAGGCAGTCCCTGGTGATCACAACCAGGAATAGTGTGTCCATCAGACTTGTCAGAAATGAGATCAAAATCCAAACCCAAAAGTTAAAAGAATAGGTACCACACAGGATAATCAAGAAATCGGTAGGCCTCATGCATGCCTTTTGGAACATAGCAAAGCCAGTGGTTCAGGTAACTGAGAAACAGACACAGGAGCCAGATTTCCACTCTATCTTAAACAACAACAACAACCACAACAACCAACTACCCTAGCACTTTTTTTTTTTAAAGATTTATTTATTTGGCCCTCCCTGGTGGCGCAGCGGGTTAAAGCACTGCACTGAGAAGCTAAAGCCACTTCCGCATGAGTTCAATTCCC